CGTCTCGCAAAAAAAAATTATCCTGTTCATCCAAACCTGGACACATATCACACACAAAAATGATACAAAGTGATTCTGGATAAAAAAATCTCTTTCATAAGATGTATAATAATTTACTGTTCATAGATGATTTACAGAATAATTAGCAATTTTCTAGGTGAAAACATTTGTGTTGACTCACACGGTAAGACTTTAAAAGTAAGCAGAGGCAATCCACTTCCTTCTACCTTGCAGAAACGTATGGAAATAACATTTCATCTCATATCACCTTTGTTACAGAAATGTAAGTGCAAGGCATTCCAAGACAAAAATGGTACTTTTTTCTCTGTCTTACTTTAGTAAATAGTTGAGTACGATTTTTCTATAGAATCAACAATTCATATCACCGTAAAGAACAGTCTTACTTGTTGTACACTCAAAACGATGGTATTATCTAGAGCCATTAAAACATTCTGAATGATTCATCAGCAGATAACTTTAAGGTGTTAGTACACGCAAGGAGTCAAGCACAATTTTAAACCACCATCTCATTAAGGGTGTAAGTGAGAACCTTTACGATTCAAAATTATGCTTGAAACTCTAACGATGGTGTTCATTCTCCCCCCCCCCCCCCCATCATGTTGGATTAAAGATTTTCATTCTACAAAATATGACGTCAATATTCAGACGATTAGTGCATTTTTCACCAAACAACATTAAGTCATTCTTCTGCCCAATGTAACCATTATAGTGTCAGTATAGATTCGGAAATCGGTAACTCGCCTTTCGGTGAAAAAACACACAACATTCTATAGCAACCATTTACTAAAAATCAACTCAGGGGCAAATTAAATACCTTATTGGTATATCCGATAGAAATCCTGTTCACTATACGTAATACGTCTTTGAAATATTCGCACGTTTCAACAGGTGACTTGTATACAGGGAAGTTGAAAACGCGTTTCTTTGATTTTTCGGATGTAGTTGCGATCGGGTTACTATCTTTGCTTTTCAAAGTTGTTAAGATATTGATTTGATGAAACGAAAGTTTTGGGCAAAATACATTTGACAATTGGTAGATTCGAATTTCAAACAAAATAATTAAAATGAAAAACATTTTGTTATTCTTTTATTCTTTCTTTGTCTTATCAACCTTGGCATACAACGCATCTACACTGACTACATCATCCTTAGGCAAGGTTGATGTATGTCCTGCTTTTGGAGTGGCCTTCAAGGTATTCCACATGAGTCCTTTATCTGGCATGTCATAGAGCGGAATCTCCTCTGCATCACCCCCTGATCCTGTCATCTTGACGTTCTCATACTGGTCTCCCTGCTGAAAGGCATCCCTGTTCTGCCAATGTTGAGTGATGATGACGCTGTTGCCATAGAGATGATCCGAATTGGAAGATCTATCAGTAACCTTTGATGTTGATTGTGGCTCACGAGTGATGACTGCCCTTTTGTCCGGCATGGTATAGAGCGCGTTGTCCAGTGGACCTTTTATTCGTGTGATGGAACTTTCTTCAATCTTGTCTGCAGAATCGTAGACGATATCATCAACAATTTCACCATTTCCTGGATCATCTGCCCTTCGTTGATCTAAGTTGGATTTCCTCAATTCCTGAATGGAAGTAGGATACTCTGGATCACTCATTTGCTTACGTCGCAAAACGATAATGATAACAATCAATATCAGAATGAAAGCAGAACAAGAATGACGACAATCATGGTTATATTACCATCTCTCTGGTTTTTGCCGGAGATGACATTCGGTGATGTAGGTGTACCGCCGGGCAATTTTGTTGAAGCTGTATATGATAATGTTAATGGTCTATTTTGCCCTGTTTGTTTCAAAGAAGTTGTTGGTAGCGTAGTCGTTCTTTTGTCGGAGTTCGCAGTCTTGTTTGTTGGTGCGTGATGTATTGTTGTAGAAATTAAAGTAGGTATACTGACGGGCAATGTTTTAAAAGCTGTATATGATAATGTCGATGGTTTATTTTGTGTCGTTTGTTTCAAAGAGGTCGTTGGTAGCCTAGTCGTGGGAGAGGAGGATGACGTGGGCTGAGTTGAAAGCATGCATTTGATCCTCGATTCAGTGTCAATTTGCAGATAGAAATCTGAATGAAGCATGTTTAATTGACTCGCATGAATCGAAAAAGAACAGGTGTTTCCTCGAATTACAGCTCTCCGATTTATGTTCCCCTTCAAAAATATTTTTTGAGTAGACACCTGTCTCGTCCAATAATTATCCAGAGTACAAATCACTTTCATCTTATTTGTATTAAAATGAGATGCTGTTATGCAGTTAAAACATTTAACTACACGTAAGTCATACGACTGAAGGGTTTTATTATGAATGTCAAGACATTGGAAGGTAGCCGAATCATTCATTCTGATGTTAGAAATATATATATTGTTCGAATCAAGATTATCATCGTCGGCGACACCTTGTGTATAACGAGAATCATTGATGAAGACACCTTTCCAGTTGGCAAGTAATGTTCCATTTCTATTCCACCACTTGTAGTTATCATAAACACCATCAGGTCGAGAGCAGTTTAGGGCGATATCATCTCCGATGTTAGCTAGTTTTAGGATATCACCTTCCCCTCCGCATGCAAGATCCACACAAACAAGTACGACAAACGCAGTTACAAAAACACCCCAAAACACCTGCGATTTTATGAGTACCATCTTAGAGCCAAGGTTACAAATATTGATGAAAAATCGAAATCTCAGAAGGCAAAATTAGATGCGCTTTCATCGTTACGGAACAATGTAATATAAGTTTTCCTCTCGCGGCGTCGAAATAGTAAATGCTAGTATTGCTTTGATTTGTTAAAGATGGCAAAGTATGACAATGACTGTTTGACCATTGTCTGCATTCAATGACGTAGTTCCTGAACTCGATGGCGTATGACTAATAAAACGTTTTGAAGCAGTCTGTGCTGAAAAGCGCGTGCGTAGTATTGAGCCGATTTGAAGAGAGAACTTCTTTTGTTCTTCTACAAATGTTGTCATAAAACTTCACTGCGACACATCGTCGAAATATCTTTTCCCATCAAGTTTTGTCACTATAGTGGCGTAGTATCACTTGAATTTCGTACGTTAGGTTCCCGATATGTTGTAAAATGAATAAATTTGTCACATTGCTTGATCCGTACCTCCAGATATCAAAGATCAGAAATGTTAAAGTCGAATCTATTTCTAACGATGACCTCGATACAAATCTCAGTCAAGATCCACTTTATTCGTCTCGGTAATGAGTCCCGTATGTGTTAGTCTAAAAACATTTCTTTAGTGATCATGAAAATCACATTTCGCCATGCATGAAGTTCCGCGGCAGCTAGAGCCAGGTTCCAAAAGATTTCAACGGTGAAAAAGATACCCAAAGTGCTGCAATTAAGCAAGAACCTCATAGTGCATGTATCTCGTTTGTAAATAACAGATTAAATGGCAATCGGTAACTGTTATCTGCCCTCTTCAATCTAGAGTTGTTAAGACTTCACCTTGCATGACAAGGAAATGACACTTTTATTCAATTCAATAGTATTAAAAGGGTATCCATCAGCCGTTGAAACAAAAACCATCTCTTATAAACCTAACAAAACCAAAATTGAATGCATAGAAAGTATCTTGTCAGTATTGTAATATGTATTTTTGAAGATGATTAGTTATATTATTTAAAACATTGAAACTTTATCTCAGAAAGTAGGCGTGGCATAGGTGAAGTGGCATAGATATTGTCAGTATCGAACAAAACATGAAGTGTTTTCTGTAACTAATTCCTTATTAGGTAAATGAAAATAAGGCCATTAACAACGTTGAAGGGAAGTCACCTTGAAGAACCTCTTACCCAACCACAAGTAAGAGTAAAGCACAAGGAGTTGCAATGTGCCAGATATTATTTCTATACAAGACTCCACCATTATTATCATTAGTATTTATCATCATTTGTTTCGTTTGTTAATCAATCACACCCGCTACACACGATATTTCATTTCGAGTGAATTGTAAATTGTTTTTTCTGTTAAAGAAAGAACAAACAAAAATATTATCATATTTTCTCTCATCATTGTATTCAAATACTGTATTTAAATACATTAATGAGATAAAATTTGACAACATTTTTTTCAACTCGAAGTAGTGTAGGCCTACTACTTATATCAAGATATATGTGTATAATCATTGATATGAAGATCGATCGAGTAGCTGTTTAGTGAGGCTTTCAAAGGTATATATATATATATATATATATAACGCCAATTATTTGATAAGCGAATTGAAAAGAAATGAAAATTTATGATGATAGGGGTGATTTGAAATACTGACTGAATACTAATGCAATCTCACCGTATTTGCTGCTCGCCGAAGAAGGAGCCCCACACTGTCCGCTGGATGATTTCTTTCGTAATTTTTAAAACATATTTGTTTTGTGCTTTTGTGCTTTTGTGTTCGAGAATCACGCAATAATTGAGTTACATCACGGTTGCACTCTGAGCATGAGCAGATAAAGGTCATTGCAGAACAAATTGTGAAATACACGAAGACGAAATACTGGATAGTGCTCATGAAAGTTATGTAATCATTATTCATTCGTGCACGAGCAGTGCACTCTATGATACATAATTATATAGGTGGAAGTATTCTTTGAATAGGGGAAACAAAGGCTACTTATGTAGCACCTCCATCGCTACAGGAGTTATTATTTCGAAATGTACAAAGTGGGACCTCTTTATGTTTTGAAGATCTGTGGATATTCGGGGTCATTGCAGCCATGTGCTAACCGTGAACTGGTCTATTGTGAACTAGGAACCGGCCAGGAAAGACCTGAAATCCGAGTGCCCTACTTTTTGAATGCCCTGCCCTATTGCCCCTATTTGAACTATTCAACACACACAGACCGATAGCGGTCAAGGCTTTGGGTAGCATTGTTGTCGAAAATGAGGGTACGGTACGATGTTTATTCTTTATCAATGTGTAATACCTGTTTAACAGAGACCGGCCAATTGCATGCAGCCTACGCTATGAATGGTAGTTGCGTTCATTCGGCCTGTACAGTAATTTACTACATATTTATTTGAACGTGGAAGAAATTGTAGGATTGATCAGTAAAAGAGAAGCCTCCATCATAACAGGTAGGTACATTACATATTACCGTACATAAACAATACCAAATAGGGTTAATAACGAGATTTCATATATACTTTATGTGTGGCAACCAATTGGCCGAATGCGCAGCTCGTAATGTACGCTGTGTATCTCATAGACGTGATAATAAGTACCCGTGCTTCTACCTTACACAAACGTTATAATATGATTTTCCATTGACAATTAAATAGACAATAAATAAGTTCTTTTGAGAAGTCTGTAAAGATATTTGGGTTGCGCAGAATTTTCGTTAGTTTATATATTCCACGGTTTAGCCAGTTGAACATTTTCTGACATTACATGATAGGCTTATGAATTAAAGGCACACTGTCCTAATTGTAGCTACTTGCTCCCTCTATATATAATAGAAAACTTCACCAATCGGTGCCTGTTGGTCCCCTATGATCCTCTTATTCTTATGTTAAATGAGAGCTGAGTTAATGAGATAGCCACCTGTCACAGCGACCTCGCTGGCTCGCAGGTGGTCTAATCCCTTCTAGCTAAAGTAGTAAAGCCTGCCTTTAAAGGATATTGAGAGACTGTTGGTTGCGGAGAATCCTGGGTAGTCTATATTCCGCGGTTTCAGATCGAGAAGCCTGTTGAAAACGTTCTGTCACTAAAACATAAACAATGTCAAGCATTCTTACTTTAATAAGCCTCGTAATGAAAGACTTCATTACGGGAAAATTGTGTATAAAAACAAAAGTTCTATTCCAATGTTTTAAATAAGCCAAATCTATGACTATTTTTTTTTCTTCCCCCCCCCCCCTGGTTATTTCACGAAATTCAGTTTAAAACATGTCTTCTCAAATAGTGCTGATGACCGGCTGCTCATCGGGTATCGGTCTCGCTACAGCTAAACGTCTCGCTCTCGACGCCGAACAGCGATACATCGTCATCGCTACTGTCATAGCTATATCGGAGAAAACTGATCTGGAAGCTGCCGTAGGGGACGCTCTCCAAAAAACAATTTTCATCCAGGAGTTGGACGTCACAAAGGACGATGACATCACAGCTGTAGTGGATGGAACACTAAAAACGCATGGGAAAATCGACATCCTTAGTGAGTGCACTTTTTCTTTGGCTAATATCAGTCTGTCATAGCGTATGGAGCGTATGAATGGTTTTGTAAGAGAGAATAATAAATAAAACAAGAGGGGGGGGGGGGGCAATTCCAAAAATGATGTCATCTTGAGCTAATTTTATTTGCTGTATACAATACCAAAATGATAGAACAGACATCCTTATCCAATACTGATACATTTATTTACCGTTAATGCTAACACTGATAACTCGTCTGTCAACAGATGTAAGTAAATCTTAGTTTATGACCAAAGATCAAAGGGGATCGGTAATGTAATATCCAACATAAGTCGGTTCACGTATAATTCGTGTTCTGTTATAACCGTTTTTGTTAAAGGGATAGTTGATTTATGATGCAGAGGGCGCTACACAAAATATTTGTTTGTAAGATAATGAAAAACTGAGTGTCAAATCTGGAAGAACATAATATTTAAATGACAAAGTCATCTTTGTTTGATCAAAATCGGTTCAGAGACTCTGAAATATAACAATTTATAATACTTGTGTACCGGGCCACCACAAATATTAGATAATTTGAAAAATTCGAAAAAAAACCGTTGAAAAAAACGAAATAACGCCTTTTACGTCGTATTTCAGCCAATGCCGATGTTGGCATTTTTGTTGGCATTTTCGTGTTGCTTATATTACCCACAATTAGCCGGGTTATGTATTGTTATTTTTAATTAAATAATTAATTAACGGTCACCGTTTTTTTTTTTAAGGTGGAGCTAAATTGGTATGATTGTATTGGCTAAATTCCACACATTTTCGGGTCTAAAATTACCTTCATAGCAATTTTAGGTTCTTAAAGTGGCACGTTCCCGCCAGTGTAGTTATCGCTGCTCTAGTCATCGCCATCTTGGTTCCGAAGATCGACTTCTAATTTGCATACAGCTGTCAATCAAAGTACGCGCGGCCTGGCCTGCCTTCGCCAAGCCAGCTGATCGCTGACGATCGCGACGTCACGAAAGTGGGCGGAAACAGCAGCCGAATCTTAGAGCCGAACTGCGATTGGCATTACTTCGGCACATGTATGCGATAATCGGTATTGTCCGGGCATTCGGAACATGCCATCTGCGTAAGAGCCGTATTCTGTTGGTGTCAATAGGCAGCTAGCACCGTCCGCCAGCGGGTACGTATTTTGAACGCCCTCTGGAATACGGGGAACATGCCTCTTTAAAGGGCACTATAAATGTCATAGATAAGAATAAGAGCAATAACCATGCACTTTGAAGGCATTTGCGGTCCGAAAACAGAACTCAACTATCCCTTTAACTATTTTAACATTCTTTCTTTTTTATTTGAACCTCCCTTATTTCCCCCTTATTTGTCCTCTTCTTCTTCATCTTCTCCTTCTTTCCTATTCTCCATTTGTTCATATAACTATCCTAAAGTACTATTCCTTTTGCTTTATATGATCTTTCTATATCCATTTATTCTTTTACTTCTTCTTCTTCATCATCATTTTCTCTTTCATCAAATATCTCTTCTCCTCTTCCGCCTACCCTTCTACATCATCTTCTTTTATTTCCTCTTCTCCTCCTTCCTCTAATATTTTGGCAATGTTGTATTCTTCTTTTTTAATTTACCCTTTCCTTTCTTTTTTCTTCTTCTTCGTCTCTCCAAGTCAATGTGGCTGGGATCGGTGTTGCTGACATTCCTGAACGAGTCCCGCGGGAACAGATCGAGACAATTTTCAGTGTGAATGTATTCGGGGCCATAAGACTCACCCAAGCTGTTCTACCTCGGATGAAACAGAGGAAAGCTGGAAAGATCATCACTATCTCAAGCACAGGTGGAAAATTAGGTCTGAAATACCTCCCAACTTTTTCATCTTAACAATTTCTAGCCTTTGTTCTCGAATAAATGATCTTTCGTCCAGCTCGCAGCTTGTGATTTACACAATTTCTATCGAGGTTTTTCGATTATAACATTTATAACTCCTTTGTATACCATACCCAATTTTTCCAGAACCATCCTGATTATTTTTTTCCTACTTCCGTAGGTTACCCGTATTTGGATATGTACTGCTCCACTAAATTTGCGCTCGAGGGTTTCTTTCAGAGTCTGGCGGTTTCGTTACGCTCATTCAATGTCAGGTAAGGATCCTTGAATATGATGTTTACTTTTGTTAAAGTTGGCAGAAGAAATAGATCATTCTTAAAGGGGTGTAGCATTGCAAATACTGGTTAACGCCATCTACGAATTCTTTTGGACAATAATTGTTAGTAGACGAATGGACTCGCCTAACAGTCAGCGCGCTATAGCGTTCGCGAAACAGACCTAAGTTCTCCTCACGTTTTGGTTTCGCGTATATTGCACGCACGTGAAAACTGCGGTCGCGTTGTCCGTAGTCGTATTTTACCCTCAAAGCGGTAGCCAAGAACATTTTGGTAAGGTCCACAAAGTTAACATAATACGTGGATTGATAAAGAAGACCATTGGGTTCTAATCACCACTTAATGGTCTTTCCAAGGTATGTTGTAATTATGCAAACACCTTCTTTTTCTACCTGAAGTTTCTCCCCTCATTGAACATTTTCACTTCCTTGTCAATGATATCAGTGAAATAATATAGCATTCGAACAATACCAGATTAAAGCCTAACTCACGGCTCGTAGTGTTTACTCATTTATTTTCACTAACGAAATACATTTATTACATACCAATGTCATTCTAATATCCACCATTCTGAATTAAATGGGGATACACTCATCATGATTTTGACACTTCGATAATTATTTTGATTTCCATGTTTGGTTTGACCCCTCCTTAGAGTTTGTTTGGTTGAGCCTGGTGGGACTAATACCGGATTCAGTCTTGTCATTAATAAATCCATCGACGCCAGACTTCAAGACGAGTCCATCGACGACATTGATCGACGTCAGCTTCAATGTTTAAGAGAGACGATTACGAAGAATGAGATTGCGTGGCCAGACGATGTCGCCGATGCGATAACGACGAGGTGTTTGGACGTCGACGAACCCGTCCTCGGACATCTTCTACCGGAGGAGTTACACGATGTCGTTAGGGCAACGGCGGGCGACGTCACTGGAGAAACCGGCCTCGCCATTGTGCAGAATTCAATAGGAAAATAACAATTAGTTGAAATAATGATAATTTAAATTCAAAGTCGGGTAATGGTGCTGAATTTGGAGAAAAGCAAGATAATGGATTCCAAATGAGACTTATTGGCATTAGTTTTGATATGTTTATCATGCTGCGAGGGAAAACGTGGCCGACATTTCCTTGAGATAATATGTAATTTGTTGGAAGGATACACGACTCTGAACGATATGGGGCCATACAATGTTCTCATGGTTCTAGCAGGTGATCTCGTCCTGGATTTGCATGCTGTTTGACAAAGAGGCCAGTTAACTTTCCTTGATTATTTTTTGCTCATTCCCCATTTATCATTTATCAAATCAGTTTTGTAAATATCATCAGTATTCTTTAAAATGGCTATTAAAATAAATATTCGTAAAATTAAATTGAAATTTTCATCAGTATTGTTCTTATTCTCATTGTAAAATGTGATTACATTGTTTAAACAAAATCCTATGTCTAAATTCTATGTCGTGTATATGGATGAATAAAATAAATTGAATTGAAGTTAATTGAATAGTTTTTTATAGCTAGTTTATAAAGAGGAATAGTTCAGAATCTGGCTAATCTAATCTTTCTTTACCAGCGGCCTCTATTTGCTGCAAGCGGATTTTTTTTGCGTGATCCCTGAACTTTTACTCCCGGCTAAAAAAATGTGTTGCACCATCTATATGTACGGATTCGTGGATCACACCATCTTCGGCTTACAGCCGAAGAGAGATCGAGAAATAAAAATCCCACCGTCCGGATTCTGGACTTAGTGAGTGAGAGATAGAGAAAGAGAGGGAGATAGAGAGAGAGAGAGAGAGAGAGAGAGAGAGAAGAAAAATACATTTCTTCACGAGCAAACAAAGCATAGCTGACTGACGGATGATTGCCAAACAAAAGAGCTATAGAAAGTGAGAGAGAGGGGAGCAGAGAAGAAAAAAGGAGAAAAGAGAGGAATATATATAGAGAGAAATGAGAGATGGGGAGCGAAGAAAATGAGAAACAGAGACAAAGAAAAGGAGAGAGAGAGAGAGAGAGAAGATGAAAATAATTTTAAAAAGGCTTCGTAGGCGACGGGGGGCTTAGTGTATGCAGGCGGCCGGATGGGTGTATGTGTGTATGTGGTGCGCGCGCGTGTGTGTGTGTGTGTGTGTGTGATTGTTCAGTTATAATATTCTTCTCCTATCAGTTGATAAATCTCCCTGTCTCGATCTCTCCCTTCTATCTCCCTTTTTTCTATCTCGAATTCCTCATCCACTCCCTGTCCTTTTGTCTTCTGCCCCTTGCTACCCCCTCCCAACAACTAACCCTCTCCAATTATACGAATAATATGAACCCACACTGATCTCTAACTATAACTGTTTATTTTATATGTGTCAGGTTTTCCATATTCCACACGTTTACTCTGCATCCAAGTTCGATCTCTTTGGCAGCAGGCGTGAACCTGTTTATATAATGTATATAGATATATAGATATATAAAGGCGTTATTAGAAAGACATTTGGAGTGAAAAAAAATGAGTCATTAAGTAGACATTGTCATTAGGAGGACAATTTGATGTCCTCTTAACATTGTTCACGTTATATTTCTCATAGAAGGTCATTTTTTAAATATTTATATATATATATATATATATATATATCGATCTCTATATCATTAGAGGGACATTTGGAGTGAAAATGAGTCATTAAGTAGACATTAGGGTTAGGGTTAGGAATTGTATGATGTCCACTTATATGTACCATGTAGGGTTATATAATTATATATATATATATATATATATATATATATATATATATATATATATTGGATAAGGCAGACTAATGGTGCATGGTTGCAACTCCGAGTTTCACGCCTTGCGAGCGATCATCAGGCAACTGGTAGCATGATTACTCTACAATCTACAATACGTTCTAAATAAGGAATACAATACAATACAAAACAATAAGATTTACTCATGGGTGAAGGGGCTATTGTAATTGTTCAGGTACTGCAATGGAATTTTAAACATGGGAGAGGGTATCGCAAAATAGTCTCCACCAAGGTGCTAGAACATAAATATATATATATTTAATTAAGTATAGTCTCTTTTGAAGTTGCAGAGGTAGAATTTGTTTTCATGGCGGCATTTGGAGATGAGTTCTGGTCGTTTGTTCAGGAGTGTCTGTTTCTCGGCGTTGATGATGGCAAGCTTCTCAGTTAGGCACAGGTTGCATCTCTTCGTTTCGCTGGAGTACGCCTGGGCCTTGCTGGAGATCGACCACTCGATGGTGAATGGGGTGCTTTGGTGTTTGAGTTGCCAAATGTGTTTGGAGAGTTCTGTGCTGTTTTTGTGCTTCTCATGTCGGAAGGACTGTAGATGGTTGCCGTACCTCAGCTTGAACGGGGGCTCGGTGAGTCCAATATATTGCTTAGGGCTTTCTGGGCCGGAGACTTTTGCACTGTAGATGATACTGCCGGCCTGGCAGTTTCCTTGTAGGGGGCACACATTCTTTTTCCGGCAGTTGCAGGTTTTCGGCTTGGTGTGGTCGTCCGTGGATGAAACCTGCTTGTTGTGCGCCTTGATGATGCTGGCGACATTCGGCATGCAGCTGTAGCTGACTTTGAGTGTGTTTCTGTTGAATATCTTGTTGAATTTTGATTTCTTTGGGAAGTGCTTATCAACAAGCCTCAGGAACGATCTGCCGATGTTGGTTGCGACGTTTTTGCTGAATGGAGGGTTGAACCAGATATGTTTCGTTTCCGGTTTTGCTTTCTCCTTGTCGGACGCTCCTTCGCGCGTGTAGGTGAGGGTTTCAGCAAATTCACTGGCTTTTAGGGCATCGTTGTAGGCAGGGGAAGCTTCGTTGAAAGTCTCTTCATCGCATGAGATGTCTGCTATTCGGCGGCTTGTTGATGCTGGGAGGTTCTTGATGATGGATAGCTTGTGGGTGTACATTGGGCAGTCGATCATTCGGCTTCCTATATATATATATATATATACACTCTTATGAATATAATCGTTTTTTCGTCTTCTATTTGCATTAAGTGGAGATTAAAGGGTAAAAATATCGCTTACTTATTCACCCTTTTGGTCTAAATACAATGATTTTCCAGTTTTAGTCATTATAAGAAAAAATTGAGAGAAAATGAGAATTAATGTCTTTCATCCTAACGTTGCATCTCAGATAGAGATTGCATTTAACAAATAATATATTTGTAATGCCCATGAATATGATGGGCTTTTTCTTTAATCGAACATATTGAGTGAAATTGCACCGTATGACAAAAATGTTTAAGTGATTTGCAATACCTAATATGTCATCATTCACTGGCTTAATAAGCATATTATCACTTACACCGCAAACGCAATCCAATTATATTTTCCTTTATGAAAAATAAACGTTGTTGTGGATATGTCTCCATATGGGCCCCGGGGACTAAGATCGATTTTCTAAATCAATTACACTCGCATTCCAAGGTCCATTCTGAATTTCATCCACAGCATATAGCAATACGATAAACTGTGTTAGAATGTGCCAAGCGATTGTGTGGGAATATACATGATCACCCTAGAAGCCGCTAAAATAAATGAAACAACCACTGCATAAGGTCACTATTTTACCATAGGATCGGGAAAATATCGACAATATTTAGCAGGTGAGTAGCGTTGTTGAGTTATGTGTGTGTACGCCAGTCAACCAGCAATCGTAATAATACAACGCGCAATGTCTCTGCTTCAAGATTAAATACAATGCAGACGAGTGTTAGGATAATAGTGTACAATTGTGAAGTAGTGACGATTTCGTAGAATTTGTAAATACGTTAAATGATTTTGCATTGCTTTTCTTTAAAATAATGGTGATTTCAGCCATTGCAAAAAAGAAGAAAAAGGTATGAAATATTATTATACATTTAGAAAACTACTAGCGAGTGATGTAAAACATATGAATTTAGTAATAATAAATAATTTATAGTATTTCAGTGTTTCTATAACCCTATATAGGTATTTGCCAAGATGGCGCCTCAAATCGTCCTCATGACCGGTTGTTCGGCCGGAATCGGTCTCGCCATGGTTCAACGTCTCGCTCGAGACCCCGATCAGCGATTCATCATCATTGCCACGGTGATTTCGATGTCGGAGAAGAACGATCTCGAGGACGCGGTCAAGGACGACATTGACAGTAAAGTTTTCATCAAAGAGTTGGACATCACAAACGATCGAAACATCGCTGAGGTGGTCGCAGACGTCATCAACAGTCACGGTCGCATTGATGTATTATGTAAGAAAATAATGATAGCAATGCTGATAATATTTCTAGAGCGCTGATAATCACCACGCAAAGTGCTCAAGCCAAGCTAAGAAGTACCTCTGCTTTAGAGCTTGTCGACCGATTTCGGTACCCACATTATTTAGTCAATATTGGTGAACAATTTAACCTTTAGGAATGTTAACACCACTGTTCCTTGCAAATTCATTGTTATTATAAAATATGCATTATCTTTTTTTCACACCGTCGACAATAATGGTCGAGCATTTTATTTCACTAGAGCAGTTAATAAAGCCATATCAAGATAATGACCTGTAAAAAATTCACGTCAAGCAGGCATTTTAATGTTCTCAAAACATGTGGCACAATAATCATGGCTTTTTCAAAAATTATGGAGCTTGGTAGTTCTAGAGGTTCCGGAGGGGGCTTCCGGGCTCAAGCCCCGAGGCAAAGCACTCCTCCACCGAAACATTTTTAGAGCAGCGCGCCTGGGGCTTGGCAAGGCAGGTGACTTTTAACAACATAACCTTACTTTCAAATATACTCATATTTTCTTTCCACCTTGGATGATTGCTATTCCTAGTTAACATCACTGGAATGAGCTTTGTAGGGATTCCCGAAAGAGTCCCGCGGGAACAGATCGACCGTATCTTCAGTGTGAATGTGACGGGGACTATCAGACTTACCCAGGCAGTCCTTGCCCACATGAAGAAGCGACGATCCGGAAAGTTTATCACCTTTTCAAGCTTGGCAGGTAGAATTGGTAAGTCTTTTCACTGACAATACGAGTAAAACGACAGCTAACCAAACCTTAAATATCTGTCCAGTGAATCCTCAGGAAAATGCTAGACAGGAGGTCAACGAGACCTTTTAGTCATCACTTATTGGGGTTGATATTCATCATGTTTATCTTATTCTTAAGTATTATATGATATGTATTTGTACATTTATTCAAATATGTCATTCAGAGATTTATTTCCAATAAAATGGCCTGTCGGAGGATCCAAACAATTGAATTAAAAAAGAAGGAAAAAAAATCCTCCATTAACACGTTGCTTACATGAACCGGGTGGTTCCTGTGAGTGGTAGACCTACCTGTTCTAAGCCTATGGTTAATGATACACTTCACTAGTCATTAGGTCTAAGTCTTTCTTCGTTTAAGAAACTCGTCCTACGCCCCTCCCCTCTCTCCTTCGCTCTATCTGACTCTCTCCATCACTCCTCTTATAGATAGATTATTGAAGAAACGTTATTATAAACCCCATCTCTTCTCCTCTTTGACCGTAATCGCATTCGAACTTATCTTTCGTTATGTGTTCTATTAATATCTGGCAGGTTTCCCATATTCTGAGTTTTATTGCGCATCGAAATTCGCCATCGAGGGTTTATTCGAGTCACTTGCTGCGGGTCTACGTAGCTTTAACATTAGGTGAACTTATTTTGTTTTGCTTATGAATTGCTTAATTATTTGTGTGTACACTTGTAGTGATAAAACCGTTGACATACGCGCTATTTGGAATTCAATGTCAACGGTATTAAACCAAACGTGATCAATAGCGTAAAATCCCCCAAAATGTGCTTGAAATTGACCGCTAAAGGGGGTTATTTGCATTTGTGGTGACGGCCATACGTGTCACCCTCTGCGGAGGGAGAGTGACTCCACCGGGTTAAAATCAGAACTGTTTCTGTGTGGAAGGCTGAACAAACGTTATGATTATCAACAAATAATATTGAATCCTACCATGAATTTGCAATACAAGTTTATGAATGGGAAAGTGATATCCCTTACAGAAGCAGATTAAAGGAAATTTGTTGGCTCTCTTCCATACTCGTCGGGGTAGATTTGCCACTACTGATTAAATCTGTCCTACATTTACTAAATGTTTTAAATGGTTTCCCTATTCCTTTTGAGAATATTAACAAGTTCGTACAGACAGCCATATTCGCAGGAGACAAACACAAATGTTTAGAGGAACTTTAAAGGGTTAACAAAACGCTTATATAAAAATATCAGGAGCTTGACGACTCCATACCTCAGGCAACTTGGTGCTGATCAGGCTTTTTTTTTTTGGGGGGGGGGGATCTAACCAACCTTTGAAAATAATCATACGATTCCCATTTTAGTTCGAACACCATCTATAACCAGGGATAATGTCTTTATTCACAGAGTCTGCTTGATCGAACCAAAGGAGGTCAACACAGGCCTTTGGGACGGAATGAAACAAGACATGGAATTATTGGCAAACGATGAAACTACCTCGGACGTTGATCGCCGTCAACTACGTATTACCCTGGCTCGATCACGTGAGGGCGCTGCTCTAACTGTAAACGACGTCGTAGATTCTGTGATGACGAATTGCTTGGACGTCGATAAACCAGTGCTCAGACACCTGATCGCTGGAGAAACAAATGATCTTATTCAGAAAACTGCTTTGGACTTGACTGGAGAAGCTGGTATTGATGCTTTAGGTTTCAAGAATCTCCGCGACCATAGCAATAATTCCAAATAATCCTTTGAAATGTATTCACCGATTTTGAGAGATGAACACGGAAGTCAGCCGCAATTACTTGGGCTATTTTCGTAATGTAACAACATTTAATACACAGGTCTTTGTGAAGTGCCTCAATACAAATTATTTAATTCACCTGATAAGAAAAGTAGTATTTCAATAGACAAAATTCGAACTGCATACAGTTAACGGTCCAGTTGAGAATACTATGACAGGTTGATTTTATCAAGAAGCAGAAAAAGACTCTTATGTAATAGTAGAGCTGTGATGGCCGAGTGGTTAAGGCGTTGGACCTGAAATCCAATGAGATCTTCCCGCGTAGGTTCGAACCCTACTCGCAGCGTGTTCTGGTTACCTTTTACTTTTATCTCTGTCAATGTCATGTTGGTAAATATTTCTTTTTACAATGAATGCTATTGTAAGATAATATTTTTTGGATGTGATAATTGCATTGTATTTTGATAATAAATTGCGTTCACCAAGTATCATATATAGATTCATTACAGGTTTTGTTGTTCTAATGATTTACAAAAAACCCTAATTTGACATTTGTTTGAACAAAACAATCCAATGTAACATTATGTTGACAGTGCAGTACAGGCTAATTTGGTGCAATATAGTCCATACTGATTAAATGAAAAAGTACAAATTTTATTTAAATATGGTTGTCCTCTTTTACGTAGAGCTGTGATGGCCGAGTGGTTAAGGCGTTGGACTTGAAATCCAATGGGATCTTCCCGCTCTTGGCAGAACTGTTTTCATCGAGAAGCTTGACGTCACAAAGGATGAGGAAATCGCAACGGTGGTGAATGGCGCCCTCAAAAAGTATGGCAGGATCGACGTACTTCGTAAGTATTTCTGAGATTTTCAGGCGGTTTATAACATCGCTTAGCTTGAAATGTGCACCGAGTGATGACCTGACATTATTTTTCTCTGGCGTATTGTGTTTTTTTTTGGTCAAATAAAGGAGTTCACCAATAATCGAGGGCACTTTAGCTTGAATTCGGATAACTTGCATAAAAGCAGTAAATATGTTGATCTTGTGTATCTCCCCGTTTTCTCCTTCTATTCATCCCTGCCCTCTACGGCTCTATTTGAGAGGTTTGCTCGCTATTTATAAGGTCCGGTATTCTTAATATGGAACGCTATTCATATTGTCTCGCGTTATGAAAAGCGGTTCTTACAGATAGCGAGTTTTACCCTCATTTGATGCCATAAAAATAGGTTTTTAAATTATTTACTTCTTTTAATCAATATGTAATTATATACGTGAAAGTCTAAGTTATGACCCAGATATTATTCCAGAATTGAGAGAATAGTTTGACGTAAGACATATATAAATGTGTTATGCAAGCTCAAATTTTGATTAATCTATTATATGAATTGAGAATCATTGAGATGTGCTTATTTATACTGCAATTGTATTGTATAATTTTTTATTTTATAATTATGTATGTCTATAATTTCTGTAAAATGTGGAACAATAACAAACTTGACAACTTGAAGCTTGAAACTTAATAGTTGATTCTTGCTATTTGATTAATCAAGAACTGTGTCCTATTACTGATTCCCAATATCTCTTTTGGGAATGGGCTATTAATGAGCTTTAACTGAGGACAATAGTCCCCCATAATTTTTGTTTAATTCTCAGTAAACGTAGCTGGGAAAGTTATGTCTGGAATTCCCGAATACGTCACACGGGAACGTATGGAGCAGATCTTCAACGTGAATGTATTCGGGGCAATACTTCTCAGGCCGTTTTACCTCATATGAAAACGACGAAAACTGGAAAAATAATTATAGTTTCGAGCGCATGGGGAAAAATGGGTAAAGTAAACTCTATTTGCTTTATGAGTTTTAACACACGCTCTGCATACACTTTTCCATTCTCTCTCTCTCTCTCTCTCTATCTCTCTTACCTTTAAGTTTTGTTGGTTATGTTGTATTTTTCTATCAAAGTACTTACCAGCTAACGTATTTTTGCCACGTGGAGCTAACCTTAGAAGGTGAAGTTCATTTGATCAAATTGCAATGTACTGTCTTGGCCTGTGAATGTGTATATTGTAAGCAAATTCATTGAAACCAACAAACAAATAAAACAACAGCAACAGCAACAACTGTTATAGTTCACATCCTATTGATTTTCACCTCTCTCTACCTGTTTTAGCTTCGCCATATGCGGAGATCTACTGCTCTGCTAAATTTGCAATTGAGGGGTATTTCGAGGGTCTAGCGGCGGCGTTACGTTCATTTAACATCAGGTGAGGTCTGTGTAATTTATTCATAGATTAATAAGAACAAATGAAATACTGCGGGAAATAATCCTTATTTCATCTACATCGCAATCAGATAAAAGGAACAGGATCGCAAATACCTTCAGACACAAACCTACAGCAGTTTCAATAGTCTTGTCCGTCACCTTAAAACAAGTATATACACTTTTATACAACATAACAGGAACAGATTAAGTAATCTGAACATGATTTCTATGGGGGATATATGGTATATACAATTCGGTTACGAATTTGCCTTTAAGTACATTTCTTGAAGGTCTTTGCAATCGTTACATCGTTACCATAACACCTTCGACAACAGATTGACGAGTCCCTTTTAGGCTTTTACATGGTAAACACTTTTTTTCTGTAGAAATCATCAAAAATATGAATTTGTAATAATTATGATATACATTATTAAGAGATTATGAGTATTTTGTATGTGATATTCTGAAATCAATCTCAATAGGTTGAAGTTATTATTATGTATTGTGAACGTATTATGAAAAATCTTTATTCTTTGACAAAAATTGACTATTTGTATTATCAATTTGTTTTATCTATAGAATATCTAAACATTTGATGAGTTGTGAGGGAATGATGTCATTAAATAATGATTGAGTAGTGGTTGTTAAGAATTTCCCTTTTGTTTCCATAACAATTGTCCGAATTTCCTAAAACTGTTCATTCTTCGTGAACTTCCAAGGTTTTACCTTTTGTTCTAGAGTTTGTCTGGTAGAGCCCGGTAAGGTAAACACCGGCTTCGTTGACCCATTCCACGTCGGACTTGTCTCAGGAGCCCAAGACGACACCGTAGACGACATCGATCGTCGTCAACTCCGTTATCTGAATGACCACGTCAAGGCAGCGCCAGGTGTCACGCCCGACGCGGTCGCCGAAGCGATAACGACACGGTGTCTTGACGTCGACGAGCCCGTTTTTCGACATCTTCTACCCGTTGAAGTTCTTGATGAGGTCCCAACCGCAGCGGCTGACATCACCGGCGAGACCGTCATCGGCATCTTGAGAAAGTCTATTGAAAATTAAGCTTAAAGGGATCCGGTAACTTTGTCTTATATTCTAAATATGACATGTAACAGCTTAAAAATGAGGACCTAATTTGTATGCCACATGTTTGTGTAGTCCCATACACATATTTCTGTGTTTAGTGTTTGTTACTGTTACCAAGACAATTCTTATCACTTTATGATACCGCATTCTGTCTGCCTGGTAGTACAAAATGGCACGAAGAAGAGTAATTATTTAAATCCATCATTGTCCAAAGGTTTAATCATGTAAAATATAAAAAAAAATTATGTTTACTCAATGCTACTCATGTTAACAATGCCATGATTATAAAATCAGATAAAATATTGCATAATACATGATACACTTGTTTACTTGTTTTTTATGAATAATATTAAGCATCGGTAGGAATGAGAGGTTTTGCTTTGTAATTCTATTCTTTAAGTAAGCCAGGTGCGTGCTCTTTGTATTAATTTGTCTTCTTGATGAAAGTTGTTTTAATTTTTTTTTATCTCCGATTGTCTCTTGTCATGTTATGTAATCTTTTAAGATTTGTTTTAGACAACTAGTCGTTTAATCTTTTTCATGCATGTTAGAAATGTGTCGTTTGAGGTCCTATCTATTTTATTACATGATGGCGGAATTTTTTGTGCAAGTTTGAGAGATTGAGAGGTTATAATTATGATTTAAAAGAAGCACAACCCTCAAATCATGACTACCTATTTTGTAAAGGACACACTTGTTATAGATAAATAAAGATAGACAAGTGAGTTTGTATCACTATTTTCTGTATTCATTTATTTATTTATTTATTCATCATTTATTTTTATTTTTATTTTATTATTATCATAATTATTATTATTATTATTATTATTATTATTATCATTATTATTATTATTATTATTATCATTATTATTATTATCATCATTATTATTCACATTATTATTATTATTAAAATTATTATTATCATCATTATTATTATTTTTCTCTCTCTTTTTTTTTGGGGGGGGGGGGAGGGGGTGGGGCGTGGGGGGGGGGGACAAGTTCGTGATTTTTTTTTTAATGGCGAATCAGCCAGCCGGCAAATATTCGGGGGAGGGGGAGAGGGGAGGGGGAATGGGAGGAGCATTTGTTAATGTCCAAACACAGACAATCATTTTGCAGCATAACGAAACCAAAATTGTATACATATAGAAATTATCTGGTCATTAATCTAGTTTGTATCTTGGAAGATGATTGGTTTGACACTTTCTTCTTAGAAAGTAGACGTGGCAAAGATATTTTCAGTTTCGCACAAAACATGTTGTGTATTTCTGTAGGTATTTCCGTGTTCAGTAAATGAAAATGAAGTCGTTAACAACGTTGAAGTTAGCTTACATTGACGAACCTACACTCAACGATATAAAATGAAGAATAACGAGAGCAAAATTTGTTTATGTTTAATAATATTCTTTGTCACAATATCCACATTAATTATTATCATAAGATGATGACGTGGATCCTAATCAAATGATAGGTTGAGAGCGTACACGTGACTCGGTTTTAATTTTGACTAGCGCGTAATTTGGATAATGATCGGTCATTATCCAATGGTAATTACCGGTCATTAGTAAAATTATTTTATGAAACATCATTTTATAAAAAAATGAAAAAACTTAATATTATAAAACAAATAATACACATCATTTTGTTCGGGCAGTAGAAAAAATACCCGCACTCGGTACATTAAAAACAGTCCAAACACCATCGGCTATCGCCTCGGGCGTGTTAGCCTGTTCCAAAGGTACCATGTGTGGGTAATTCTTACCAATGCCCTCACTGCTGTGTATTATTTGTTTACTACTACTACTTTTACCGTTGCTGCTGCTGCTGATACTCCTACTACTCCTATTACTCCTACTGCTGTGTGTGTGTGTGTTTGGGTTTTTATAGACGGGTATCTGATTTAAGACAATCAGATATGATTATTTACGTCTGGGGATCTACTTTTAACGTCACCATCCGAAAGACGTGACTCAGTTTTGAACCTGCGTCCTCGGCTGAATAAGTTTGTAACTTCCACTGTTAGCTGGATTACAGGCGCATGCAACAACGCCTATTCCTACTGCTGCTACTACATGTACTAATTCTTATAATGATAGTAATAATATGTTTCGGTTTATCAAGTACTTTACAGATTATTTTTACCTTGGTCATGTGATTAAGTCACGCACACAATGAGCACCATCTCCCCTCGGCGGGGGGGGGGGTTACTTGTACCATATTCAATCAGGATCTATGGTAAATACTATGACGTGTTTCCCTAATTCATTAAACAAAATTTTCTTTTCCTTTCTCCATAGTAATAAGTACAGAAAACAAAATAAATTATGTGCTTTATGCTTTAATTCAACCTTTATGACACAATTCACGATGAAAATATACAATATTATGGTTATGATCCCTAAGATGAAGAATTCTGCTTGTAGTCGGGGCCCTGTAACAAACATTTATTTGCAACTTTAATCATTTACTTTGGATGTTAATCTACATGTTGCACCGGGATAACAAAAAAAATAATACGTTTACATTATTGGAATATCATTCATCTGAGTAGAAATCAATATAATCTTTTTATCAACAAATGTAATAGACAGATACCATGTTGAAAATACATGTAGTACAATGTAGTTTTTGTTGTTGAAATATTTATATGGTAGGCTCTACTCTAATAAACGTACTTCTTATTATTATCATTAAAGGTGACAGGAGGATTTATAGAAGCCTTCTTTAATATTTCATCCTTTGCCTCGTGTGTCCAAGTTTAGAAAATACTTTACACCATAAAACTGCTTCATTCTTTCAAATGTCATGATTTTAAAACAATATAGAAAATCTAGATTAAGACGGATTTCTTCCGTGCCCAACGAAAGAATCAAATTAACCTATTATTGTTTGATATAGTACACACATTTACACATAATCTTAACAAATTGAAACATTTTAGGATCAAAAGAGCTCGTTAAAAAAATTACGTAGTGACCATGCATGGTAAAAACTTAAGGTTTACAATTTAAAAAGTGCCAGCATTACTGGTGACAGATACTTTTAGAGATTATACAGTGTACATATATTTATATTTTAATACAAATTCTGCGTTTCTGATATGAAATCATTGTTTTATTGAATGAACAAAAATTATACTCTTTCATGTATGTTCAACAGTTACAAGTACCATGATTAATATATGTTTACTTCTTTGAAATGTACCTGTGAGATACCGTACTTAATGTTTTCTTTGTATTTTCGAAGACACCATTATTAATGTTAATAATAATAATAATAATATTTAATTTGTATATAGCGCTTAATACCAATGTTAGCATGTATTTAGCGTGTGTCATATTAACAACATTCGGGAACGGTTGTCCGTTTGGAAACCCTCGTGTATTTCTATTTGCCATTAGAAATTGGCTTAAGATGCAACGTGCCTGTTACGACGAACATTTTCCCGTTAAAACAGAGTTCCTGCAAAAGAAGTGAGTTTGCTCAAAGTATAAATATAAGACGAAATTTAGCCAATTTAATTTACAATAGTAACATGATTAATTGAACGGTATAGATTATTGTGAGTTAAAGGAGCTACACAAAGAAAATTCACTTACAACTGATAATTAGAACAAATTACATATCGATGGAAAGATTTTCTCTTGAAAAACACGAATAATTTGCTGAGAAATCATATAGATATCATGGAAAGGCGTAAAATGCATTTTTTCAAGACCCTTCTTAGACCCCCAAACGCCCCCGAAGGTAAGCCAAACACACGAGCGTAGCGAGCTCTGAATAGTGACGTCACACACTGGACAAACAGCTCAGTGCCGTGTAGCAGTCTGCAGCTAGCCAGCCGTATCCCGTATGTGACGTCACAAATATTGACGCTCTAAAGAGGACCGCTGATTAAGGCAGAAAATCTCGATCTCAAAACTAACATTGATAAGAGTTGATTACTGCGGGCCCAAAACATATTTTGAAGAAAAGAGTTGTTGTATTTGATCAGCAAGGCTTCCCCACATTTGATTCTTCGTGTGTCTACTTTAACACGTATGAGAGTGCGTATGGATGACGTGTCACATTGTTGATTTGTTATCGATAGTGGGCGTGTGTAACACGTTGGATTAATGGTTTAACATGACAAGGAAAAGCAATGCCATGGTCATTTAGATAAAACAGTCATAAATGCCGTGTTTAAATATTAGTAAATGCGTTAAATAAAATGATTGTTCTCTTGATAGGCAATTTATGAGTACTTTTTTTAGGTCAAGTTGAGTCTAGTTCTTTTTATGAATGGGACAATAATTAGTTCTTGTTTTGCTTGTTTAAATATTACAAGCAGAGGTTAAGTTTTGGTATTGAATATATAATTATAAACATGAGTTAGTTCAATAAGCAAAGGTGATTTAGATACCCTGCTTGTATAGAATATAGAAGGTCTTGGTACTTAGTTTTGTCTCTTTGGTTGTCAAGTATTGAACAAGTGTGGTTCACTGATGCTTAGGAAAGAAAGCAGTTGTTTTAATTCGGTTAAAATCGCAGAGAACAAATATAGCATGTGTGTTACAAGTAAATCCTTATACGTTTAATACGGAAGATCATTTTTACGAGGATAAAGTGTGTAGCTATAGAGATTGATCTCATTAGTCATGTATTATGACAGGTATATTAGTATGTGAAAGGACACATCATGCAAGCACTCAAGTAATTATCCAGTGTAATAGATTATGTAGATAAGTGAGCATAAATTATATAAATAATTTACAGACTTAGGTTATTCTTTACTAGGTATAAATGAAAACACAAGCGCAGAAATTGAAGTGCAATACACAGGTATTTATTTACATGTGCTAAATGTCTGAATGTATTCTTGTTATTTATTTTATACAGATTGAATTGATACTACGACTTCTAAAGGATAAAGCACATCAGAAGTAAAATCCAATTTGCGCAGACTAAGTTTCTTCGGGGTAATTGCTGGGTGTTTGAGCCAACCAATCATTATTTTTATCTTGTAAATTACAACTTAACGCGTACTAAATAGCTTTACGTACACAATTAATACAGATTATATTGTTTCGAAAGATAAATCGTCATTTGATATCAGTATTGAGAAGCGAAATCTAAGCTAAGCACACTTATGCAACCATAGACATGATAGAGAAGACAGCTCGTAACTAATGCTAGTTTTATGTTCATATAAAGGTCATGAACAATATTTACAATGGCATATTTG